CCAAAGAGGACCACACCAAGACACATCATAATTAAAATGCCAAGAGCAAAAGACAAAGAGAGAATCTTAAAAGCAGCAAGAGAAAAACAGTTAGTTACCTACAAGGGAGTACTCATATGACTGTCAGTTGATTTCTCAACAGAAACTATGCAGGCCAGAAGGGAGTGGCAAGAAATATACAAAGTGATGAATAGCAAGAACCTACAACCAAGTATACTCTACCCAGTAAAGCTATCATTCAGAATTGAAGCTCAGATAAAGAGCTTCACAGACAAAAAAAAAAAACTAAAGGAGTTCATCACCACCAAACCAGTACTATATGAAATGCTGAAGGGTATTCTCTAAGAAGAGGAAGAAAAAGGTAAAGATAAAAATTATGAACAACAGTGACTACAAATACATATCTATCAACAAGTGAATCTAAAAATCAAGTGAATAAAAAATATGAAGAACAGAATAAACTGGTGAATATAATAGAATCAGGGACATAGAAAGGGAGTGGCCTGACAATTCTCAGGGTGAAGGGAGCGTGGGGGAGCAGAAAGAGATTGGACAAAAATCTTATACCTATGGATGAGGACAATGGGGGGGGTAAGGGCATGGGGTAGGGTGAGAACCGGGTGGAGGGGAGCTATGGGGGGGAAAAAGAGGAACAATTGTAATAGTCTGAACAATAAAGATTTATTTAAAAATATTTTTTCTATTTCAGAAGAATTTCACAGTTATATTCTGACTTTTTAATTCTGATCCAATAACGTGGATCAAATGCAGCTCACTGTCCTTCTCCACATAAAACTGAGGGACCCCCTTGCATATCAAAGGCAGGAAGCCAGTGGTACATTGATAAATTGGGATATCCCTTCTCCCTGTGGTGCAAAGGTGTGCTGCCAACGTATGAAAGCAGCTCAATTAACTGAAGGTGGGATGATACCCACAGGTGTGCCACTCCCTTTCGGGGTGCTGGAGGCTGGTCAGGAAGAGCCTCCCTGGCCACACAGTGTGAGCACAGCCCACAATAAAGCCAGGAGAAATAATTGGCCAAGTCCTGTCTCCTGAGCAGAGGAAATGGTAAGTCCGAAGCCTGTGAGGTAGGAGTCTGGGAATGGTGGATGCGCAGTGAGTTCACTAGCATCGCCAATGATCCGAGAGGGCAGAGTGGACACTCAGATGGAAATGAGGGAGAGATGTGGTGGGTGGAGCACTGAAGGTGTGGATGGAAGATAAATCTTATTCTGGGTGAGATGGGAAGGTATTGGAGGGTTAGGAGCACATTCTCACCCATGTTTCTCAAGGGACTCGTGACAAGAGTGGAAAGGGGCAGACCAGTCAGAGGCTTACTACTGTCCCCCTGAGGCACGGTGGCCAGTGCCAGGTGCCTATGGGTAGAGCTTTCAAAAGTGATTGGTTTTGGGACATACTCAGGGCAAGAAAGGTGATGATGAATTATATTTGGAGTGCCGGGGGGAAGAGGAGAGTCAGGGTTGATGCCTCGGTTATTGTTTGAAAAACTGGATAAATGAGGGTTCCATTTATTGGGATGGAGAGCAAGGGGGTGACACAGGTTGGGGTTCAGGAAATCAAGAGTTCGCGCTGGGCATTTGAAGCTGAGATATTTGTAGCTATCTGAGACAAGATTTATAATCAGTTCCATATATGCATCTGGTCATAAGTTAGGGACTCACTGATGTATTCAATGTATTTTTTTCCTCATGTAAAAATAGGTTAATTTTTACTTTTTATCTATATATTAATTACAAAATATCTTCTAAATGTTTTCACTTTACTTCAGACTATATTCTTCTCCTTTCTTTGAAAAAGCTATATATGGACATTAGGCATAATTCTGACCACTGCACATGATTCCTGACTCGATAAGAAAGAGTGGGTTCTATTCCTTTCTCAGTCCTGAGAACTCACCTCCTTTTGCTATTTTTCTATCCCTTCTTCCCAAATAGTAAAAACAGAAAATGAGAAAAATACATGAACCCCCTAACAACAAGTAGTATAAGTATTGGATTAATCCGGTTCTATAATAAGTCTGACAAGTCCAGTGGTGGGAAGTGACCTCGCAGGGTCATCTGCTCATAATTCCCTCCTGGCAGGTCACTGGGCAGTCCCGCCCAGGCCCATAGCTTCTCCGTGAAAAGTCTTCGACCAGTCCCGCCCACGCTCCTGTGCGCCCACGTTCACCCGCCGGGGCATCGCCAGGGGCCTCCTCCTTTCAGAACCTCGGAGGTGTCACCTCCCTCAAGGAAACAGTTTCCTTGGCTCCCACGGACCTGGCTTTCTCCACCTTCATGTCATCTTCCTTATGCCCCCCCTTCATCCCAAATGTATAAAACGATCCTGCAAAACTGTCCTTCTCCAGAGCATGTCAGTCTCGCTTCCCAGCAATAACATCAGTTTGGCGCCAGGGAACTCTTACAAACACTCTCTGCAGGTTGGACATTCTTGCACCAGCTGGCACATGGAGCTATTTTATTGTTTTTGCATAACATAGTGTCTCCTGGAAGACAGACGGCACTTCAAATCAGATCACCTGAAACCCACGGCCTATTTTCCATTTGCTGCCTCTGCTGGGATTGGTGGAGGTAACAAGTATTACAAAGCAAACTCGATCCCAAGTTTAAAGACATGTAAAGAAAATAAGACTCATATATCTAAAACAATATGAGAACAAAGAAGAAACTACTGTAACTTTTAAATATATAAGCACCGTAAGGGGTTAAACAAGGGCCAGGTGTTACCCCGTGCTGGCCTTACCCACGAAGCCCACACCCAGTGCAGCGAGAGATGATGCCAGCGAGGGGCATGCAGCTGGCCAGCACCTACCGAGGGGCTGGCCTGCGATGATCCTGGCGTTTTCTCCGGCCACCGCCGCTCTCGCGTGCCGCTCACTCATGTACTGCACGAATGCATAACCTTTGTGAACTGAGCATCCAACGATCTTCCCATACTTGGAAAAAATGGCTTCAATGTCAACTTTCTTGACAATGGCTGTGTTCAGATTGCCGATGAAAACCCGGGAGTTGATGGACTTGGGGTCGTTCTTATTGGTGACGTTGCTGGTCTGTGTTTTGCCAGTCATGGTTGGGTCACCGTGTTTTAATCCTGAAACAAAAATGAAAACAAAAAACAATTAAAAGGTAAATAGTCAGATGGAGTGGACATCACTGGCTTTGAGCAGTTTTTCAATAATGAACCAGGTGATCTCAAATCCCTAAGTATGACTTTTTCTTGAGAAGAAAATTTAATAGGGTACACTGCATTGCATTGCAGAAACGCGGGAGAAAACTACTTATTATCACTTAGCATAGAGTTAGAAATGAGCTCCTGATTTCTTTTTCTACAATTGAGCCCTGTATAATGATTAAGCCTTTGTATTTTTAAGTCCATCAATTTTTTAGAAGCAAGTTTGAGGAAGAAGCCACCTTATTTTATCAACAACAAAAAAAGTACAACACAGCTATGATGGAATATAGGAACGTGACCTCCATTCATTGTTGAGAACATGCATTTTTATCTCTACATTTTTTATAACAGGTAGACATATTGTTTATTTCAGACTCAGAACCCTTCTATCGGAAACTAGTGATCCATGCCATTAAATGCTGCAGAAAAGGGAAAAAGGCGTTAAAAATAAAAAATTCAATAGAAAACTCAATATTAAGAAAACATAAAGAAATGAACCAGAATGAATTCTGTACATCCTCTTTAATTGAACCAATATCACATGTCAGTTCCCACCCCTAGGCCCTCAAAAAAAATTTGCCTGAGTAGCTAGTTTTCATCAATGATCAGCAAATTAGTGGACTGGGTATCTGTGTTGAAATTTCTCCTCTCAACCTCATTTTTAATTCATTTAACGAATGGCTCCTATGTTGCCTAAATACAGCTAGTCTTCCAAAAACTGTTTTGTGAGCCTGGCATAGTGTTTAATTGTGCTTAATTAAGCTCAATGAAACTTTTATTCCTAAGTACTCCAGCACTGCAGCATTGGTTTCCCAGGCTTTGCAAATTCATTCATTCATTTATTCATTCGTTCATTCATTCAGCAATGTTTATTAAGCACCTATTTGTAACTGCCAGATATTCCCTCCTAAAGTGCCTGTCAACTTAAAGAAACCAATATAGTGAAGCTGAAGTTCCACAAGAACACAGCCTCTGACATTGACAATCATTGCTGACCATTAGCTAATTGATACATTTTATCAGTGACAAATATATTTGTATCTGAAGAATCTCTTTTACAGTCTCACAGTTAGAAAAATAATTAAAGTGCCTCATTTAAAAAAATAATTTTAAATGACATTCCTCATTTGAGCATTAAAGTTTGGAAGTGTTAAGGGCATTCGAATTGGATCTGCTAGAAAACTTACTATTCACTGAAACCAGCCACCTCTGAGATCAGGAGCAACGGGGTAACATAAAAATGTTTCCAATTAGACTGCTCCTTATACAGCTCCGGTGATTAAATTTTTACTAAATATTGGACCATCAACATTACATATGTCTCCTTATAATGAAGGAGAATGTCATAAATAGTCATTCACATAACAATGAAGAGCATGACATCATTTAAGTAAGAACTCATTGCTGTCTTCCCTTGTTCTCGCTTAGCTACATTGAAGAGGTTTCTTTATGAGTGATTTGAGGCAGTCACGGTTAGGATGGAAAGGATAAAAAGCTGATCATTTGTTTATAATTTTGTAATCTGAGCTATTGCATATCTTAAGACAAATGTTCTGAGAATCAACTGAAACAAGAAAAATCAAGGTGCTTATATGTAATGTAACATTTAGCTTCGTCATATACCCTAGTACACTTTAATCACACTGAGGGAGCAAATTAGACTAAAAGGCCCATTTTTGGGCTCTGGATGGATTGATGGCTACCTGTCTTACCCCTCCAGGCCAAGATCAGTAATATAATCCACAGAACTAAGATTTTGGGTTTGCTTTTATGTGATATTTTTGGAAATACTGTACGGTATTTCCAAAAATATCACAATTTGTATGGCTAGCATTTAATTTCCTGGACAGGGATGAGTTGGTTAAGGTGCAAACACAAGAACTATTAGATTAGGTCCAATCCATGATCACAGAACCCTGTGTTCATCTTTGACAATGACCTGCATCAGATTTAATATGAGGGCACAGCTGTACTCTCAGTTCTTACTGTAAGTGTCACTGTACCCAGGGGTCTGTGGGCCACGTTCCTAGAGAGAAGAGAGCTGTGCAGAAAAGACACCAGAAACCATTTCAGCTGCCCCCGAATTGGTGCTGATGCCTGAGGTATAGGCAAGGGTGAACTGCTGAGGCGGCTACAGATACTGGAAAGCTGTGAGCCGACGGGTTCCGACCCACAGAGGCCAAGGACATTCAAGTTCCCACCAGCATCAGTGGCGAGTCCAAGTCGGTTCCAGGTGCACAAAGTTAGACGCTGAAGGGCCAGGCCTCGCTAAGGAGGATAAAGGTCTCTACAGTGAGAGGTACTCAGGGAGGCCCCTCACAAACCTCAAAAACAAGTCTCAAGATGGTCAAACTAAACCCAAAGCATCTTAATGTCTACCCGAGCAAAGCACAACACTCTTAAGAAATTATAGCCCAGATACTCAATAGCATAAAATGTAAAATCTTCAGCATCCAATCCAAAACTCCTAGAGACCCTAAGATTCAGAAAATTGACCCCAAACTAGGGGAGAAATTAAGATATAAATGAGAATCAGATGAAAATTATATTATCAAACGTACAAAAATACACTTGATGGCTATTGTAAGTGATGAAACTCTTCCAAAGAACCAATTTGTGAATTTGAAGTTGTAGAAACAGAGAACAAAGATCCAAAATGTGTCATAGTGATAAAACATGGGAAAGAAATAATAAACAGCATCTGTAACCTATGTGACAAGGGCCAAGCCCTTTAATATACTTGCATGTGGAATATCAAAGGGTCAAAAGTATTTTTTTTTAAATGGCCCCTAATCTTCCCAATTGGATAAAAATTATGATCTCACAGATCTCAGAATCTCATTGAACCCCAATGGGAATAGACAGAGAAGAGCCCAGCCAGACACATCATGACTAGACACCGTCGCCAGCCACCCAGAGGAAGAGCAGGAGCTCTCGGACATTGGGCAATGCCTGCATCCTAAGAAAGAAATGCAAACAGTGTGCAGGAAATGCTGCAACTACAGAACAAATGTCAAAGAAAAGTGAGTTATTCCACAAAAACACAGCTAACCTAAACTTGTCTGTTTTTAAGTTAGATGTTTGAATGGAGCTCAGTTAGGGATTGGTGGAAGCTGCCCTATAATAAAAGGCACTGTAACCCATCACTGCTCCTGTAGTGATGGAGACATTCTATATCTACACCATCCAAAAGGAAGACCATGACCCCATTGACCTTGAGGACCTAGTGGTGGCTAGTGGTTCAGGTACTGAATTTTAATTTTACTTCATTAAAATTAAGGCAACATTTCACTGGGTTGTTCCACCCAAAAAGACCAATAGGGCTCTGGTCCTTTGAATCTAATGAACAAAATAAACTGACAAATAAAGTAGATCCAGAGGCATGGAAACATGGAACAGACTGAGGAACCTCAGAGGGAATGGGGGCAGGGTGGGTGGGAAGAGATTAACCAAAGAATTTATATGCATGTATGCATAATCCATGGACACAAACAATAGTGTGGTGAAGGCCTGGGCAGGGCAGAAACTGGGTGGAGGGGCACAATGGGGGAAATAAGGGGGGCATCTGTAATACTCTCAAAAATAAAGATAATTTATATATATAAATGATACATATTTATTATATATATACTAGAGGCCCGGTGCACAAAAATTTGTGCACTCAGGGGGTCCCTCAGCTCAGCCTGTGCCCTCTCGCCG